CCCCGAAAAAGTAAACGATGAGTAAACGAGCGAGAACAATTTTGATAATATATGCGAATAATCAACATTAGGCTGGTGAATCGCCGGATTGAGCAGAGACAGGAGCACAACATAACTCGCACTGAGATCACGCAGAGGTGACTAACATGCATTAATCATGCGATTACTCACGCCGAAAACTCGAGAACGTACGGTGAATTTGATCAACGAGACGAATTCTTCTCCGCGAATTTTCTCTCTCTCTCTCTCTCTCTCTGCTTATCGCTACAAAAACGGCGATTAACGTGTACGTAATCTTATTAAGCCGCAATTGGAATGATAAAGTCGTACAAAGGAATGCGAATTCGCGGGCCTGTTATCGTCACGAGGATCTCCACGAGGACGACGCGAGAATTTCATCGCGGCCGTAAAGCGCGTTACGAGCGCGTTCTAAATTGCAGCGGCGACCTTAATTAGCGCTAATTGATCTGCGCATATTGTCGTGTAATTTCTAATTCGTTAAACCCCCGCTGAGACGTACGTTAACGCTTTCGGAGTGAGTAACACCGCCGGCTTCATCGACGAGCATGTTTGCACAATCGTGATCGTAGCATGACCGCAGCGATACGCGGCCGAGGAGAAGGATGCTCCGTTGCAAATTAGCAGCATTCTCCTCGAGATCATCCGTCACGCCTATATAGCTGCCTGCATTCCTTCGTGTTGTTCTCTTACTTGGCTTGCTTTTCATTACGCACGAAATGTTGCCCGTTGCCGCGCCGACGATTTCTTCTGGAATTTACGATATAATTTTACTCCTCGATTCTTTGCGGAAAGTATGATTTGTAAAAGACTAATATCTATTCTTACCCAGTACTGAGAGGAAGATTTTGGAATATACTTGGAAAGAAATTTTGTCGATGTACACAACCGATCTCAATTCTTTCTGATTAGGACGACAAAGTTTTTTATTAGAATATACGTGTCTTAACAAAAAAAGTTTTGTTATTCTAATCAAATTTGATTATTCTAAATTTTTGGTTAGGACGACAAAAAAAAAAGTTGGCCTCGTGTCAAAACTTTTTTTCTGAGTGTAATTATATACATATATATTTACTAATATTATAGCAGTAATAATCGTAATTACAGTGGCATGTAATTATAGCTACAAATACCACAAATTTTTCTCTCAGTGTGTATGAACTTTTAATCTCGGTTTAATTCATTCTTTATCTCTTCCTAATTCTTACAAGGGAAGGAACAGAAGTGGAAACACGCTTTTGACATGTGGTTTGTTGCAAATAGAGATGAGAGTGACCTAATCTCATTTGGTCGGTAAATTACGGTAAATTATAACACTTTATTTAACTCACATATTTTTCATATATATATATATATTTTTTTTTTCTATACAATATTATACGTATATATTGATATATTTACTATATATTTATATATAGCATGCATTAGGAAACTAAGTACATAGAAATTAGAGGACCTTCAATAAATTTTTAACATACCATGTACAGAAGTTTAAGAAGAATGATATTAAAAATCTTATTCTATAACTTTTAATGACTGTAACGATATCGTTACATTATCTTTGTGTAACTTTTTTTCCCATGTATGAAACCTATGCAGCGACGATGTAATATCCTTATAGTCATTAAAAATTACAGAATAGTTATCCTTAGTTTTCAACATTATGTACTTTTCGAGTAGATTATACATGAAGAGTATCTTCATTGAGAACAACAAATCAGCGAGACTTTAATGATGCTAAAGCTTGTTTTCAAATGTAGTTCTATCAACTCGTGAGAGTAGATTGGATGAGACGAATGTTGTTTGATCTTTTGCATTAGTACGGAAATCATGTTACGCAGCTATTTGCGCATATAAGATTATAAAAAGCAACGATTTTTCATCTGGCAGAATTTTACATCTCTAGTTGCAAAAGATAGTCCTTCGTGCTTGTATTAAGAATGTCAAACTTTAATTTCGGACACCTGAGTTTTTTTTTTTTTTTTAAATAAATATAGTAACTTCGATGTTATCGATTAATCGCTTAAGCAGGATAATAGCTTTCAGCTAAAAAAAAAAAGAGGAAAAACTTAAGTATAACAATGTTTCAGGACTAATCGACTTTCATTTAACGCACGTTATATGTAAATGCAGTTCGGATTAACGCGAACCCGAGTACAACTGTCTAACTGCATTGTCGAGGTGATGATGAAAACGCATTAATCCGAACTGTATTTATATCATCTATGCATTGGAAAAAAGTCAATTGATTCTAGAACATTAAAATATTTGCAACTTCTTTTCTCTTTCCCTCGAGATCCATTATCTTGCCAAGTAATTAATCGATATACAATGACTTTAGCATTTTTATATTTACGGATTATAAATTTTATAATACAATATATTATTAATTTTTGAAAAAACACTAAGGGGTGCCTGATGTTAGAGTATGGGATTGTTAATATGAGCACAATAGGCTATTTTTTGCAACAAACCGCATTTCAAAAGCGCCTCGGTCGACAACTAAAAGTAACTTGATATCAATGTTATAATTTCACACTCAATAATGTAACTATTATGTAACATCACGTGTTGTATTACTTTTAGTTTGTGTCGACTGGGGCGTTTCCACTTCTGGACGTTTCCCTTGACAGAGCTAGAGAGAGAGAGAGAGAGAGAGAGAGAGAGAGAGAAAGAGAGAGAGAGAGAGAGAGAGAGAGAGAGAGAGATAAAAAAGTAAATTAAGCCGAGATTAAAGTTAATCTATATTGTAACAAAGATATTATTCTTGATTTAATACCAATTAATCCGCCTAATTAATAGGAATCAATTAATCTATTTAAATGAAACTTAAAATGTGATCGTAGTAAAACTTCGCCAAGAAGAGATCAATCCTGAATCGATCCTGAGAAGAATACGGCTGCAAGTTCGATAACCCATTTCATGTTATTCCCTTGCATGTGTCGCGTGTGCTACATTCCGATCAGTTATAGATTATTATTTCAGACATGAATGAAATACCGCGTAAAATTACCGCTTTGACTGTCATGTCATATCTGAGTGATGCGTGAGTTTCCGCAAGAGCTCTGTCATCTATTTGAAACGGTTTTACCCAGTTGAAATAATTTCACGAAGTACAAAAAAATTATACGCGAATTGTATTACATTAAAACATTAAAAAAAAAAAAAAAAAAAAAAA